TCCAAAGAAATTCGCAGTAAATTTTTTGTGGTCAAACAGTAAAAAAAAAATCTGTTAAAATAAATATGAAAACAAGGACAAAAATCTCTTAATCAGTGGATCAAATATTGCAAAACTCAGTCTTCTTTACGATAATATTTAAAAATAATTCTATCGTAGTCACACATATTTTCAATTTGCAAAGTTGCATGAATTTAGAATGGAACCACAATAAATACCAACAATACACAAATCAAATTAATTATTGCCCAATCCATTAATTGTAAGTGTTATAGCCAATAATTAATACACATGTTATTAAATTGCATTCAAATGTAAATCAGTTAATTTAATATTAGTAAAATAATATTACAACTTAGACGTGAAACATGAATGTAGTATTTCACAAGTAACACAAATAAACCACCGGCGACCTGCTACTTAGTAATAATAATAATAATTGTTGTTTATTCTACTCAAGTCATACATGAAAAAAAAATTGATTTGGAAAAAATGAGCAGAAAGGGTATCACAACTAGCAGAGGTCTGCTAAAACGCCCGACATCAAAAAGAGATCGGCCACCGCGTGAACCCATACTATCGAAAAAAAAAGAACAATCACGACACTTTAAAATTGCTGCCACAAATTCAAGAAGTAATTCGATGCTTTTCATTGTGATTCCCTTGCAAGGCTCGGCGCGTTTATAAACCAATGAAATTATTAAAAATGTATTAAAAACAGGTAAAAACTTTCAGGTGCCAATTAGAAATACTAAATTTCAAATTTTAAAGCATAAAATTTGTAAGGTGATTTGAATTTAAAATCGCGCGGCTTTTCCTCATGGGTTTTTGTGAGTTGTTCAGAAAAAAATATCCTGCTGTACTGCTGCTATGTACATGTTTCGGTTGCGGGCTGAAAAAAAAAATAAAACTTGTAGTTTAAATTTTTAACAATAGTCTTTTTCATTTCATTAAAAACTATTTAGCTTATTTATTGTTAGTCGAGGCTCACTGCGGCGGATGGAGTCTTTTTGATATCGGAAGTTTTAGCAACATTTTTGCTAGTGGTGATGCCTCTTTGTACTACAATCTGTTTTTTTTTTCAAAAATTGAATGTAAACAATGTATTTGTAACAATGTGGACAAATAAACAACAATAATAATAATAATTAAATTTTAAAAATATTTATTGAAATAATTATTTAAAATTTATTCCAAGTATTCCAATTAAAAAATATTTACCTTAATACTATTTAAACATTATTTATTTTGAAATTATTCACAAACTAAAATTTCGGTTTTGAATCAAAACTGCTTTGGCTGATTTCGTGCTGGTTGTGCGTATGAACAAGTTTACTAATTCCAAAGTGCGCACATCTGCATCGCTGCTTCATGCCGCTTCATGCAGTGCAAGAGATGGGGAATTGGGGATGGACAGTCGGTTGTCGGCAAGAGGGCGCAAAAAGTCTAGCTGGGCAGGACTGTAGGGGAGAGAGCCGAGTTTTGCGGAGCGGCCGGCAGGGGCGCCGTTCGTCGGTGCGGCATGTTGGCGAAGCGGCGGCGGGGTGGTGCAGCCGGCTGGCTGGCAGGGGTGGCTTCCGACGGGGTTGCCACGATCGTCGTTGGTGGCCTATTGATTCCGCCCGGCCGCTGGATCAGACCAGAAGGAGATGCGCAATCCGCTAATAGCGCGCTGAGGCCAAACAAACACCCAACAAATAATTATGCAATCCTCTATAATCTCAAATCCGGTTGGAAATTAACCCCAAATATTGTAATCTAGAATTTATTTAACAGAATTTCAAAAGATTCTCAGTTTTGCATTTCACAATATAATTCTTGTATATATCAGGATTTTTTTAACTTGATTGATTTCATTTTTTTTTTTTTTTTTTTTTGCCAATTTTTACTTTGGAATTGATTTTTTTTCTTTTTGGTTTTGTTTCATTGATATTTCAAATCAAACCATCTGAGAATAAATATGATCAGGTTGGCGCCAAGTTGACGCCATCATCCACGTTTATGACCTCTTTATGGCCTTTTCCAATTAACCGAGCGGGAAATTGGCACCGGCGCTGGAACCATCGGAAGTAACTTGACGTCTCTTATCATTCCGTTTTATGATAATAGTTTTGTAAGACATTTCAATTTGGAAATAGAAAATTAATTGAAATTCCAAGTTCCCTCGCTAAAAATTAATTAATGGAAATATTTAGATTTAATTCAATTCAATAATTTAAAAAAGAAAGATTATTAGATAAAGAAAATTACAACGAGGACTTCTTCATTTCCATTTGATAAAAACCACAAAATTTTCCGAATAATGTCATTTTTTTATTGCTGGCAACACAAAACATATGTCTATCAAATGTCCTTGTCTGAATTTTCTCATAAATTTTTTTGAATTTTTTTACTGTTCTGCGTATTTTGTATCGTTTGAGAACATTTGCAAATCTCACCAATACGTTCAAAATTCGAAGTTCTAAAGCGAGCAGAGGTTCCGGAGGGGAAGTTGGGGGTGGCCGTTGGGTGGGCGGCGACGACCTGTTGCTTATTCCACCACCCACGGCAAGTCAAGAGGGCGGTGGCGCCAGCAGATGGCGCCTTGCCTGCTCGCCACCTAATTCTCTCGTCGCTTCAAAAAACAATGCTCCGAAAGTATTATAAAATAATTATGAAATTTTTAGCAGTATTTTTTAGAAACTTTTTCGATGGAAATGAAGATTCGGGCTTTTCCTCGTTGCAAAAAATTGTTTTTTATTCAAAAACAAACGGCTCTACCAGTTTCGGTCACGGTCTGCGACCCTATTTCATGAGCAAACGCGCTGCTCGCTGACTAATACAAGATTTTTGCAACGAGGAAAAGCCCGAATCTTCATTTCCATGATCATCTCCTCGAGTGTCAACTTCTTCAAACTTTTTCGATCCTTATGTGCTTATTATTAATAAGTATGGTTATAAAAATAAAAATAAATACATTTGGTTTTGACAAAGTTGATGCTTCTTTGTATAAGTTGTTAAACAATTTTTGGAAGGAAACATTTTCAATTCAATTCATTTATTCTCTCGCAACAAGTCAAACAAAAATTGAAAAATCACAATATTGTTTAACTAAAACAGCACCAATTTTTCCAATTTTGAAAAAAAAAATACATATTACACACTTTTGCCTTTAGAATTTTAGGCATAAAATTTAACTAACCTAACTTTTTGGAGACAATATTTCAAAACATTTTTATTTTTTTTTTGAAAATGGATATTTATTTATTAATTTATTCTCCATTCAGATACAATATGAAAAACACAACATCTTACATCAAGTCAATACACAAAAATAGAATAAAACACTGAAAATACATGTAAAGAATGTTGGCTAGAGGGGTGAATGGAGAAATGGCTCTTCTCTAGCAAAGAACTTTGCAACTTTGGCCCCATAGTTATGCGCGCTCTTGCGTCAAAGTCGGTCACGCCGTGGTCACTTAAAAGAAAAAAAAATAAAGGTCGGTGTACATGAGGAGCTTCATTTAAATTCTAGGAATGTTAAAATCTTCCCCCTGAATTTTAAATAATTTTTAAAATGCAAGTTAACATTAGTTAGTAAATCTTGGAGGTGGCAACCTGATCACCTGCTTCCTTTCTGGTTTGGTTTGCTTAACTCGTATCTTAAGCCCTGGTGCTGCACTAATAAAATTGCGCTCTTCCTTCTCCTCCGCCTTCGTCGCGCCGCGTCCTCGTCTCTCGTAATTCGAGCAATAAAAAGAGCCGACGGACGCGGACGAGCAATTGCTCTCTGCGGAGCACGAGGTCGTCGCCCCGTTGCTGGGCCGGACGCAAAATCGAAAAATGGCATGTATGATATGCAGAATAATTCGCTCGCGCGCGCCAGAGAGGATCCGCGACTAACGGACCTTCGCTGAGCTGCTCTGGGTGCGGGTGGAGCCTGGAGTTGCTCCGTTCCATCAGCAGCTCAAAGAATGGAAATGGGAAATAATAATATACACAAGCGACGACAATTGCTCTACTAGGGTGACGTCAGGTTTGCCAGAACGGAAGAGGAGCAGCTTTTTGAGCCACTTTCATAACTCGCAAATATTCTCTTCACGGTCCAAACTCGAGCGGTTTTTCGAAATCTGAAAATATTTCTAATATTAGTTCAAATTTAGTGACATCAATATTATAATTAAAAGATAAAACTTCTCTAAAAATCGTGAATAACCATTATTGATGTTCCAATTTTATTTACTAAAATCAAATTTTTTACAAATTAATTTTGTTTTAATTCTTGAGATTTTTTAGTGTATTGCTTGTACTTTTGAGGCTCTATAGGGAGGTCTTCTAATTCATAATTTTACAATTTAGTTTGAATTTATAGTAGTTCGTTGGTATACCACAAAGCAATCTTTGTCGAGGTACATCAAAATCGAAGATTTATTAAAAGATGAAGATAATACAAAATTTGATGTTGAAAAAGCAAATCTTTTAAATTAAAGAAGCGAAAAATTGAATTGAAATCATCTTTTAAAATATACAAATTTACTTGTTGAAAAACTTTTTGTTTTCAATAACAGCACTGAGAAAGCAGCAGTAAGCAATATGTTGCAAAATTTTATTTCTAGATTTCTTTTAATTTATACAGACTATAATGATTTTTTTTATTTAATCTTCAGAAAAAAGGAATTACTTTTGTAAATTATATATTTCATTTTTATAACTACATTTACAAAAGTAAAATTCTAACCACTTTTAAGCAGAAAATTTAATAGCACATTTTTCAAACAAATCGCATGTTCTTTACAAGCCTTAAAAGGAGCAAAATGCTTTTAAAAAATTGTAAAATATTGAGATTAATAAGAGTACAGATTATATTATTATTATTTATTCTACTCAAGTCATAAAAATAATGATCTATATTAAATAACAAAAAAATGTCCAAAATGCCCCAATGTTTAGAAATAATTAATTTAAGTATTTAAGTACGAAGAAAAAATACTGAACTAACATTTTTGCGTTGTGATTCTCAGGTCTCAGCAAACCAGCACATGCAGATGACCGCCGAGCTGAACAAGTCAAGTCCGGGCGGTGTCAACGTCAACGTCCAGCAGCAACAACAGGCGGCCCTTTTCTACCAGCAGCAGCAGCAACAAGAGTCGTACTCGCTCAACCAGTCGCAGACCATCAACTTCACGCAGCAAACCCTGCGGCAACGCAACCCTCCGCGGCCGCAGGCGCCGCCCCAGCAACAACCCCATCAGCAGCCCCAGCCCGACGGACCCCCTGGCCGGCCCATGGACGTGCAGCAGCAGCAGAAAATGATGCAACACATCCGCGCCCAGCAACTCATGCAGCAGCAGCAGCAACAACAACAACAACAACAACAACAGCAGCAGCAGCAACAACATCACCAGCAGCAAGGCCTCCGGGGGCCGCCCCCAGAGTACAAACACCCTCAGCAGCAAATCATGCAGCAGCAGCAGAGGTTCCAGGTCAACCAGGTGAGATAAAATCCTTTCCTGAAATTAACGTTTTGCCCAAAACACCATTAGTTTCAGTTTTATTTACTGTTTAAAATCTGCCACATTTATTTTTCCATTTTGGAATTACATAATTATGAAAGCTAAAATTAAAAACACTGTATTTAATGTGGTTTTGTTTTGTTTAATATTTAAAAAAATATAAAATAGTTTTGAATTAAATGAAATAAAAATGCGTTTGAAGAAGTTGACACTCAATGAGATGATCAAGGAAATGAAGGAGTCGAGCTGTTCCTCGTTGAAAAAATGGTTTTTTATTCAAAAATAAATGGCTCCACCGGTTTCGGTCACGGTCTGCGACACCCTATTTCATGAGCAACTGCGCTACTTGCTGACTAATACTCAATAATAAAAATGTGTGCTTTTTTTGGCAAAATTGTGATTTATTTTATATTTTGCTAGTAAAAACATGGAAGCATCAGCCGCCATCAGCCTCCAAGTGTAACTAAATTTATATGAATTATCCCATTTAAAACTGTTTAAATACATTTCTAAAATCTAGCAGGAAAATTAAATACAAACACAATTTTTTTTTCATCCGAACAATAATTTAATTTAAATTGAATAATTTGAAAAAGAAATCGTAACCAATAATTAGTAATTATTACATTGATTGCATTGATTGAATTTTGTGTACTTACTTTTTAGGTTCGGCAACCGATGCGTCAGCAGGCAATGCCGCCGTCAGGCCCGATGATGCGCACCCAGGGTCCGATGATGGGTGGGGGGTACCAGCAGCCCCCGCAGCAGCAGCAACAGCAGCAGCCCCCGCCACAAATGGCCAGTCAGATGGGCACCCGATCTCCATACAGCGTTGCCCGGCAACAACGACCACCCAACGTCAGCATCGGACCGGACGGTCTCAACATAGGAGGCCGCGTCGGCGCTGGGCCACCCCCGGGGGCGGCCGCCAGTCAGGAGTGGCGGCAGCTGATGATGTCGCAGCAGCAGAACATGAGTTTCACACAGAACATGCACTCCCAGCAGCACCCCCAGCATCCTCAACATCCCCAGCAGCCACAGCAGCAGATGCGGCCAAACTTCAATCCTCAACAAGGTTAACAAAAATTGCAAAATTTAATCAAAATTTTAGTTAGTAAATGAATAAAATTGATATTTGTTGTGTAGTTATTCCAAAAAATTAAATTTAAAATAATGAAGATTTTAACAATAATTTGCTTTGTTTTCTGCTTAAAAATAATTTTTTTAGATAAATGAAAAATTAAAATATTTAGTAAATTTGTTTCTTAATTCATTATTTTAATTTTTTGTGTGTTGATTTTATTAAAAAATAACGCTAATTACATTATTTAAATTTAATTTTTGTAAAATTTTCAGGTTCCTATGGTGGCATGGTCGGCGGGCCTCAAGCCAACATGCAGCACCAGATGATGCAGCAGAACCAGCAGCAGCAGCAGCAGCAGCAGCAAATGCTGCGGCAACAGCAGGCCAGTATGGGCGGCCCGATGGGCCCCGGCGGCATGGGCGGGCCCATGCTAATGGGCCAGCAGCAGCCCCACATGCAGAACCACCACCCCGGCGCCGCGCCGCAGCCGAATCAGGTACAAAATCAATCTAAAGTACTTCAAAAATTACTAAAATGAGTTCAGAGCTATTTTTTAAATGTTGATTTGAATATAAAGTCCACTTTTCCTCAATGGGTTTTGTGAGTTGTTCATTGTTTAAGAAAAACATTGTACAATATTCTGCTCCTTCACAATTAACAACTCACAAAATCCATGGAGGAAAAGCTGTCTTTAAATTCAAATCACCATGAATCAACCCTCGATCGTGAAATTCTACTACAAAACTATTTTTTAAACATTCAAATGATACTTTTCATAACATTTTAATAATTCTCTTTTTTTTATCTATATTTTACGTGGCTAAAATCTATAAAAAAATTATTATTATGAAGTGAAAATAAAAACTTTAAATTTAATTGTTAAATTTTTTCAATTCGTTTATTCTCTCACAACATGTCAAAAACAGGTTATTTGGAAACTCACATTAAAGAGAGAATTGGCAGCCAGCTCTTGTAAACAACTCCCATTAAATTCCCATTTCATTACTTAAAAATTTTCAATAGACCTGCATTTTCCCTGGAAACTTAATGTTTTCTATTTGATTTTCTCATACAAATTACGATTTTTAACAGGCATAATTAGCTTTTCTGATTTATAAAACCTTCTGCCTTGTAAGGTTTATTATCTAAAACGTATTTTTAAAAAATTAGTCTTCTTTGGATTTACATTAAAATTTATCCGTAGGTAAAATCTTTGAACTTTATACAAACAATTTTTCCCCTTTTTTAATATTGTCTAAATTATAAAATTATCAATTAGAATTTGGCTTCAAATGTTAATGATATTTGTCTTGAATTGCAGATGTCAATGAACATGCACATGTCGCAATCGATGTCTGCGAGCGGCCCGATGGGCCCGCAAGGGTCTCAGGGTCAGCAGCACTCGCCATACGGCAACGCCCAGCAAAGCACGGCGACGCCGCCGGCGCAGAACGACTTCAGCCTTGAGTTCCTGGACAACCTGCCAGGCGCTGGGGACGCGAGTCAATTCACCGAGCAGGAGTTGCTCTCAACGCTTGACTCGACATCTGGCTTTCTTCTGGACGGACTGTGAAATTCCCTAGGTGATAAGAAGTGAATCTAATAGTTGGAAATAAATGTTGCAAAGTGCGCGGCAAATCACAATTATTATCGAAGTAAAATTAAATCTAAATAAAATGCCATTAAATAAATAAATCAAAGATACAAAAAATCGCGCGATTCGAAGCAACCTGTTGTATAACATGCAAAATTAGAGAAATCAGGGCGCTTGTGAGACAAGTGCTCTGTTTTGTTTTTGTTGTGGCATTGTAGCTTTGTAAATACTTAAGAAGGAAGAAGGACCCTATCGAAAAAAGGAAATACTAAGTCTTAAGCGACAGATATTTATTGAGGAAATCTTAATGTGACTTTTCAGATTGTTGACAAATTCGACCATGTTTTTCCAAAGTTTGGAAGAAATTATTAAAAGAAAGAAAGAAAGCGCACTGCCAAAAATCAATTTGTGTCATTATATCTAGAGATGGTACTTAAGCCAATCAATTAAGCAGGCACGTTTTTACCAAAGCTCTAAAATTAGCCAACTAGACAAAGACAGACCGAGAGATGCCTGAAAATTTTCGAACTGAAAAGTCGGCATTCGAGAAAAGCTTGATTCTAAAATTAGGACGGAGTTCGCCTCACAATGCGAAATTTGCTTTTGCAACAGAGGCGAAGTTGGCGTCACTTAAGACGTGTTAATATTCAGCAGCAAGTTATAATCGTGATTCTAAGAAGAAGACGAAGCAAGAGAAATCAGCACACAAATTTGAAGTTTGCATGCAAAAATAATTTTACCAATTCAGTAGCTCTTAAAGTTAGCAAGAAAGGAATGGTTAAACAAATCCTTAAAAAAAAAAAGATTTTCTAGCAAGTGCGAGTAAACGAGAAATAATCGACACGCAATTAATTCATTAACGTGAGAAGAGAGATGGGGGCTCTATTAATTAAAAATTAAATTAATTAAAAAAGCACACACAAAACTCGTCTGTAAGCCAGTGAAAATATTAAATAAAAATTATTGTTTTCTGTCTCTTCTTTCCCGAGTAGTGAGCTAAAAAAAGTACTTTGTCAAATGAAAAAATCACCAATTTTCCATAGGCACTTTTCTAGTAGCGCTTTTGCAAAGTAGATCAATGTGACTTTTAGGTTGCTAGCGGGAGAAGAAGGAAAAAAATGAAATTAACCCTGTCGTCGTTCGCGCCGTGCTTCCAAGTGCACCTCCTTAAAAACGTCAAAAAGGCCGCAAATTCGATTTTGAAATTCTTTATCTAGGCTCAAAATTAGGTTGCATTTTAAAGTGCCTATAAATTTTAATATCCAAAATTTGGGGGAGCAAAAATTGAAAATTTTAAAATGGTATATTGATTTTTATGAATCACCTAATTTTGTCACATCATTAAAAGTTTGAAACGAAATTTGCGAACTAAAAAATAAAAAAGTCGCCCTCCGACGTGTTTTCTAAACAATTATAACAAAATCCATTCCAGAGCTGCAGTTTTTTTTATTTAATTTGAATTTTAGCAGTTTTCAGCAATAAATTAAGAGCAATTTTTGTGTTTGTTTATTGTTGGTTCATTTTTGCGCGCATTTTAGGCCAGTATACTGTAATTGTTTTTTAATTAAAATCTTAAACATGCTCATACCTGCTAACTAGACAAAGAAAGAAATAATGCGATATTAACTTTAGTAACAAAACAAAAAAGCTACGCAGCAGCCCATCTGTCAAAATAAAAGCGGAAGGGGACCAACAAACGGATCAATTTTTGTATAACGCATCCACTTGAAATATAAAAATTATAGATCCTGTTTTTATTTAAAAAAAATCAGCACTCAGCAGAAATGATTTTATTTGTAAATCTAGTTTTACGTCGAAAGCTGGCCGCGGGACCACTCAAAAAGAGAGAAAGGAAATAAATTCGCCACACAAAATCCTTCTTCTAAACTCTGTAAAAACATGTATAAAAATCTCTCTCTTTGGGTTCGAGGAAATTTCCAAAAGAAAATTGCTTGTGCCCCGATTTTCTCACTCTGTCAGTCTCTCCCACCAACCAAACACACCAACCGGAATTTATATGTATAATGTAAAGAAGAAGAAAAGTGTTGCCGCAACTTACCGCAATTGTAAAGAAGAATTATTATTCCAAGGCCAAAAATGTGCTGTCGTCGCCATGTGTTTCAAGATGAAGGAATTATTATTGTAGACTTAAATAGGCGCTACAAAGATTTGAAATCTGCGAGATGATTATTTTCAGATGACAAATTGTTGTTGGTTATATACTTTTTTCCTCCTTTCTTTCCTCCCTATATACTTTTAATGTACATAAATCTGCAGTATATCTTTTATAAAGAAACTAAGCAACAACTTTTTATCTTTTTTATGCTACTTTATACAAAAAGTCTGTCCTTTTTTGCATCTTTGTACTTTCTATTTGCAATTATATATACAAATAATTATTTTTGCCTCCGATTTGTATTTTTTGTTTAGCGCCGCTCTGTATATTTTGTTACAGTGTGTGAAGAAAATGAAGAAGAAACAAGACGTACACAGAGAGAGTTGTTTTATTAAATATGAAAATAATAAAGTACATAAGACGATGATACAAAAAATAATGAAATCATTGAGAGAGAGAAAACGAGAGAAGCACACAAAACGAAACGCCCTAAAAGAATAATTATACAAAGGTTATATTATTATATACGAATAAATATTATACAGAATTATCAAACACCAAAACTAAAATGTGTTTTAATTCCAAATTGACATCCTTCATTTTGATAAAAATAGCTAATTTTAATTTTTAGTATTATGCAACTGCAGAATTAATATTTTCAAAATGAAATCCTTGTAAGGCTTGAACTAGAAAGTTTTTTCATGATTGAGGGTAAGATGGATTTTGTGGTCTTCACGATGCAGTGATGTATATTTTACATAACTCAAATAACTATTCTAATATTCGTTCAAATTTGATAACGTGATTTTCAGTATTTTTTGCATGGAAGAAGCAAATAAAACAATATTATTTTTGCAGCAAAACTCAAAATTAAACCTTTATTCAGAATTCTATCCTAACTCTTTATACATAGAAATCAAATACATATGTACATATTTATAGCACCTTTGCTTTATTGTTTATTTCATCAATCATTTATAATGCAACAATATCGATTAATAATGGGGTGGTCAACGCAAAGAAGCATAAGAGGCGCATGTTTCTCAACTTCAATTTTTTTATTTCTCAACGTCTGAAAATAAAGCAAGCCAGATTAATATAATCAGCGCTTGGTAGTAGTTTTTGCAATTTCTCTGGCAAAACAGCTTCTTACTGATAATTTATTTTCTCGTTTGGTATTATCACAGAAAACGGCCTACACGTACGTACTCTCACGCGGCACAAAACACAATTGTGGGGTTAGGGTTTTCAATTTTGTTAAACACAAGAGGAGGGGGAAAACTTATAAATTAACAATCGTTGCTTCGAATTAAGACTTCACATGATGGAACATAAAGCCGAGTCTTCGCGGCCCTTCATCACGGGCGGCATCTCAGTCAGTTTGCGACCCTTGAGCCGCGGCTTGAGTTCATAGTCCGTCTCCTTCAAGGCCACGCGGATCGGTTCCTCGATCGATGGCGTCTCTGGCTCGTCCTCCTCCTTCTTTGTCTCGGGCAGCGCCGGCGCCGGGGTCGTGATAGTGATTTTTATTTTGCCGGCCGGCGCCGCTAACTTAGCCGGCGCCTCCTGCAACTCGACGTTACCGTCGATGGAGCTTTTGAACTCCATTTTGGTTGTGTCCACCGTGTGCTGCTCAGGCACTTCCTCCTCCTCGGGCTCTACAGGCTCGGTTTTCACCTCAGCCATGTCCTGAGAGAAGAAGCCACTGTCTTTGCACGGCTCGGCCTCCATCGGCTCTTCCTTGATTTTGACTTGGGCAGCAGGTTCGACTACCTCGGAAGTTTCTGTTAATGATTACAAAATAGAAAATTTAGACATTTTATTGAAAATACTTGGAATTTTAAGATTTCTAAGTAATTTTGAATTATTTGTGATTGGTAAATAGTTTAGATTGATCAAATTGATGAAGTTTCAACAGTATCTTTTTGATGTATTCATGACTGGTTATCGACTGAAGAAAAAATGAATTTAAAGAAAAGATATTTTAATTTATTTACTGAATTGATTCTTTCACAATTATATCATTTTACATATTAATTTTAAATTTAGGTGATTTCATGAAAATTCTAAATTTGCATAAATTTGTTACAAAATTTGACTTGCAGTTGTTCTCTCAATTTTTTTAAAGGTTAAGCTTGTTTTCAATAAAAAAATAATGATTTAAAAAAATAAATATTTCATGGTATTGAATTTTAAAATATTACCTTCTTTCTTTTCCTCAGCAACCTCAATTTTCTCATTTTCTTCTCCTTCCTTCACTTCTTCCTCTTTTTCTTCTTCATGTTTGTCCTGTTCCATGGGCTCTTCGGCCTCGACCTTTTCTTTGTCTTTCACATCTTTCTCCTCCTCATCCTCCTTTTTAACCCCTTCTCCTTCCTCCTCTTTAGACTCAGGCTCTTCTTCCTTTTCACCTTCAGTCTCCATCTGTTCCTCTTTCATTTCCTCATCACCATTTGTCTCATTCAGGTCAGTGCTTTCAGCAGTTTTTTCAAGAGCATTCTATAAATCGTTAAAATCAATTAAAATCTAAAAAGTAAAAAGTCGCCAGATATTACCTGTAGATCTTGGTAGCAGTGGGGGTGGTAAACCTTGTCATCAACCCTGACAGCGTCCCTCAGGTGCCATTCCTCCTTCTCCTGTAGGAAAAATGTCTCGAAGGCCTCATGACAGACCTCACATTGTTCCTGAACTTCGCCGTCCTTGGCGATCACAGTTGGAATCTCAGCCTCCCCTTCCTCCACCTTGTCCTCCTCAGCTTGAGTTTCAAACCAACTTTGTGCTAAATAAATATCATGATTATAATAATTAATAATCATGATTAATAATTATCAGGTCAAATTATTTACCTCTCTCCTCAAGGTCTTCGATTTCCTCGAACTGGATCCAATCTGAGACGTCGTAGTACCACTTGCGGCTCTGCGCCTTCTTGGCACTGTCCTTGTCCCGCCTGTTTTGACGGAAGTGCCAGTCCAGGTGCTGGCTGTACCTGAGCGTCTGCTCAGGCGGGAAGCGCAGACCGCAGGTGCTGCACTGTATTCCGCAGTACAGGCCTGAGTAAGAACCAACTTGCCTCCTAGAATAAGAGAAAAAAATAGGAGATTTGAACGTTGGGAATATGGGAAAAAGTTCTTACACTCGCAGGCTTTCTGAATTCAAGGTGACTGGCTTGTATTCCTCTTTCTTTTCGGTCTCTTCCTTTTTCTTTGCCTCCACAGCGTTTATGGATTGCAATATTCCATACTCATTCAGTTTGGCCAAGAGTTCAGCCAAATCAGGAGCAACAGCTGCAATAATAAATAAACATTTTTAAAATTTACCAAATAAATCAATTTAATTTAAATAAATTTGAAATGAAAAATGATACAATAAATTAAATTGAATGCTAAAACATGAGGTGATTTTTTTTATATAATTGCAATTTAATTGGCTTCTTCAGAAATATTGCAAATTCAATTAATTAGATTATTTTAATTTTATGTGTCATTTGCCTTAAAAAAATAAAAAAAACTGTTCCGGATTATTGCAATAATTACCTGGAGCTGAAGTCTCCATTTCCTGCTCTTTGTGCAATTCATAGTTGTGCCCGTTTGTTGATGTTGATGGCGCTGCAGGTATCAAGTTTGATATGACGTCCAGTTCTGTAAATGAATTATAAATAATTATCATTATTGACAATTTTACAATCTTCACAACAATTTGAATAAATATTTAGAAACAAAACTCACGTGGTTTGGTATTGAGAATAGATCTGTTGACGGGCGCCTTACGTTGCTCAGGGGGTGCTTTCTCAGGGATGATACCCTTCTTGCCCTTGGCCACGCCCACCATAGGCAGAGCAGGGGAGTGGCCGGTGAATTCTTCAGGCACAGCCTTTTCTGCAACTTTGGGTGGCTCATCCTTGGGTGGACTTGGCAGGCGAGAGCCTTCCATGTTCATGATGGTGATGTAGCCTGGAGTGACGCAGGGTGGCAGCGCAGTAAGTCCAATGTAGTGGCGCCGGCCGTGCACAAAAATGGGCTGTGGGAGGCCGCCGTAATCAAACACGAACGGCTGACCATTGATCAGGACGCGACGAAAAGCGTCAATGAATCTGAAAATTAAAATTTGTTTACATTATTTCCCTTTTTTTAAATAAATTGTTTTTCGAATGATTTAATATTTAACTCATAAACAACAATAATAATTACATTCAACCTTTTAAAATTCAAATCAAAATTTATTTTAAAAATATAATCTACCTGACTACATGAGGGACACTATCAATGTGGACAATCTGCGGTGTGGCGTCCAAGTAGATGGGGACGCGCGCCACTGCGTCAATGACCATGGTGATTTTTCCAGCACAGTAGTCCAATCGACGGTAGTCACTGATCTTGACCCGTGGGGGCGGCCCCTCCAGTTGAACTCTGATGGGCATACCATTGAGCTCAACCTGTACAGGACTGCCTCCGTAGTAGCACTCGTAGTCCTTGCCATCAATGTTGAGCTCCCTTGTAGGAACGCCCAATTTGATGCGGTGCATCGAGTTCCTGATCATCACGTCTTTCGGCCCTGCTCCAATGGTCATGACAACTTTGAAGCCATTTTCAAACTCAACTGCCCTTTCAGCAGGGTAGAAGGAAATGTCCCTCGGATCATCGTAACTAAAATGTAGAAAAATACATGGTTAGTGAACCAATAATAAGAATTTTCATTCTAATAGAATATTTATTGAAACAATTAATAAAAAAAAATCAACATTTGCTTGTTGTTTTTAGATATAAAAAAAAAAAACGATAGAAATGAGTAGTAAAATAATAAAGAAAGATACTCTGGCAATTGCTTGATGGAAATGAATTGTAATTATATTTTTTTGTCACTAATTCTCATTTCAATACTTTTCAACATATTTTCCCCAAAGAACCAAATTTCAAATTCAATAAAATAGATTTAAATCACCTCATGAGTATGATGGTCTCGTCTCCGTAGTATCTGACGTCCCTGTTGAGTCCGTCAATGGCTATAGTCCTGGGAAAATTGGCCCTGGCCGTTTCCAGTTCCAGAGGGTCAGCTTGAGGCAGGTCAGGCTGACTGCCCCTAGGCCGCATGCCTGGGTGCATAGGAGGGAAGGGGAAGCCCTGCTGGTTGTTCCAGGAACGGGGCCCAAAGTCACCCGGAGGCCGAGGGAAAGCCCCTCTTGGGCCTCGGTTAAAGGGCATCCTGTTTTGCTGCCAACCGCCGTCCCAACCCATCCGCATGTCCCCTCCACCCCAACGACCGCCTCGATTGAAGCCGCGGCCGCCACGGTGGTGTTGCAGGAAGTCCCTTCGGTGGGAAGGATATCGCTCATCCACATCCAGGTTGCGTGGGTCGTTGTCTCCTTCAAAAATAAAATGTGACGAATATTAATGTTTTTTTTTTTTTTTTTTTTTTTAATAGAAAGCAATGAATGATGGAGAATAAATAAAGAGCAAAATGTGGTTCAACTGAAAATTACTTTTTCTATGACGCCTCTCTCCGCTATCTTTGGTACTTTGGTCCTCAGGACTGGCTTTTCCAGAATCTAGCAAATTAAAATAGATAATTTGGCTTAAAATTAGAGAAAAACAAACTAAATAAATGGGTCAAGTATATGATTATGTTTAAAATAGAAACGTTTTTAAATTTTCCCTTGCAAAATCTATTTGGAATGCTTGAAATAATCTTATTTAATTTAAAGTTAGTTTTTTTTTTGTAAATTTACTCAAAAAATTAATATTTATCATCTTAATTGTAATTTTTTAGGATTGCTCAACACTTTTTAAAAACGTCCCTATAAAATTTACATTCAAGTAACAAACCTCTGGAGTCTTCATCTTGCCAAGTGGGATCGCTCCAGTTTTCCTGCTCGTCCCTGCGTTTTGCCTCACGCAACTTGTTAGCCTCGTTCAGCTGAACCACCTGAGAAAATGGAGTGTTGCATGAGAAACGCCTGGTGCTGGCAGAGTGAGTGCCATTTACTTCTTTCAGCAGGGTCTTGTACTCGGTCATGTTCAGAGTTCCATTGTTGAGCTGCTCATCTGCCTGGGCTATCATCATTGTTATTTTCTCTGAGTTGTCTTGACCATCATCATTCATCTCGGCAAACAAAGTGCGCAAATCAATGTCTTCCGAGGTGCTTGAAGTGCGTCGACGCTCCTTGGATTCCTCTGCAAATTTCAACATCATTTTTAATTAAAAAAAAAATATATATAATTATTAAAACGTTTAAGAGATGAATTCACATAAATTATCTAGCAAAGAATTTTTTTGTAACTTTTTTATGCATTGTAATATTTTTTTTTTTTTTTTACTTTCTTTCCTGTTTTGTACTATATTGCACTTGAGGCACGTCACAATCAGTCATTATATGTATATTATCTTGGTGACGCCTTATAAGTCAATAAATATCAATAATAATAATAATTTGATATTAAACCAATAAAATGTGTTAAAAACTTAAAAATTTTATGAATAAAAGCAAATTTTGCTAGCAAAAAGTTTAGTAAGTGAATTTAACAAATTCAAATTACAGTATAGCCTACAATGAATGCCATTCCAAAGAGGGATAAAATTAAAAAAAAAATAAACAAATTACCAGAGAGCCTGAGATGCAGAAGAGGTCGTCCAAGAGAGTCAAAGTCTCCAGATCTACGATTAGCTAAGGGCGACACTGTGGCGGGGGAGATCTTGAGTTCCTCAGGGATGATTATCTTAGGTGGTGGTGGTGGAGGCGCGATCTCGATGTCTGACAAAGAAATATCCGAGCCGTTTTCCCAGTTGCAGTTCTTCAGAGGCGACCTGTACGTGTCAGGATTTGTCTCCTTGAAGCGCGTCCAGTCAGGGGCGCGTTTCAGTTCAGCACGCACGGGTGCGGACAACTGACGCAGATCCACATCCTCGTGGCCAAACAACCTGTGCAGATTATTTCGAAGTCAGAATTGTTTGAATGTAAAAATTGTGGAATCATTAATACATTTTTAGTTTTGAAGACCAACTTCAAAATTACTATATAACCCGTAAAATTTTTAACAATTAAACAAGGCTATTTAAAAAGTTAAGAAAAATATTCCTGATTAACAATTAATTATATTGAACGGAATTTTAATAATAAAGGTATTATCAAATTAATTATTTTCAAGTTGATTTGTTTGAAGAATTGTTTGATTGCAAAGATTGTGAAATTGTCTTCTTAAGTTGCGTACCGCGGAGGTCGCAGAGTGAAAATAAATTTCAGCAGTAATTATTTTCCTGCATTTAAGAAAAAAATAAAGATGATTTTAAAAAAGTTTTACAAATTAGTTTCCAAGTATTCAAGATTAACAAAGAAATATGTTGAACAAAAATACAGGCACATAATTATTCCATTTTTTTTTTTTAATGTTATACTAATCCAATGAGAGTTAGTTCTAAAATCTTAATTGGAATTTAAATATTCTATTTAAAAAATTGATCAAAAATTAAGAAGCATTGTATTTAAGGCCTATACAACTTGCACAAAAAATATGGATTTTTTTCGGCTTGAAAGGGATGCTGAAAAGCAATGATTAAAATAATTTAGACTTACTCGTCCAACATCTCAGCCTGCTTGCTTCTTTTGGGCGAGGGTGCCTGTTCCGCGGCCCCTTTTTCAGGGGTTGACCCCCTCTTCTTGCCGGTCGGTGACCCCAGCGTACGCAGGTCGATGTCTTGCTGCTCAGACTTTTCTGCAACCAGATTGAAAAAAAATTGAAGGAGGAGACTCCCCTACCTTACAACACTCCAAGCTACCCCGAAACAAGGGCAGAAACTTGCAGAAAAAGATGCACGCGAATTTAATCTCACTTCAGGTGCTCAACTCGCCTCAAGATTACTTTTGTAACTTAAATATGTGAGAAAGAATTTTCAAGACACTTGAAAAGGTTTTCCTCTTTATAAAAAACTGGGAAGACCTTCCGAGGGTCCTTCACCTCGTGCATTGATTTGTAACTCTTGACGTGCACAACTCCCTGGCGCTAACAGTTTCTTGATCAGTACTGGACTGACCAGTAAGAGTTTGATTCAAAATCGATAAGGGCCGAATGTATTAAAAATTAAAATCGGGCACGTGAATGCCATTGCAAAGGTTTTGACGTGGAAAATAATCAGAGCATGCTCTCCGTTTTGAATGATGTGTAGTGAATCAGAACATGTTATATTGAGTGTTTTTAATCAGCACAAAATCAGTCTTTGGCATATAATGACAATAAAGTCGTCATCAGCATATCCATAAAATACTCCCATGAGATGATTCAAAAAAAAAAAATAACAATTCAGTCTGATTTGCATCACAGATCCATCAACTAGGTCTACAGAGATACAAAAGTTTAACAAAGTGGTAATCGGGGGCAGGGACAGGTCATATTTTTATTTATATCGTCAAAAAATGGCGCATTAGGCGGAATAAAATGAGAAGTGTACAAGTCACAGATTTCAGATCACAGCTGTCATTTGCTCATTACATGAAATACCTGACCAGGTCAAAGAAGAACCTGGGCAGTGAGAACTTACTCTGCTCGCCTTTGGAGCTTTCGGCAGCTGGTGGCTCAGGACTGGAGCTGACTGAGCGTGCTTTGCGGACGTAGTTACGCAAGTGGATACTTTTAATATCCTTGAATTTGCCTTCAGGCACTTTCTTCTTGCTGCTGCTTTCCTTTTTGCTCTTTGAACTCTTGATTGAACTTGAAGATGGCGATCTGCTCTTTGAAGAGGAACTACTACTACTGCTGCTGGACTTCTTGCTACTTGAACTGCTTCGTTTGCCTGGACTTTCTTTTTTTGATTTTAAATTTTTTTCAGGCAGAACAATTATATCTGGCGACATGATTTTTTGAGGTCGCGCCTCGGCCTTTGCTTTAGCAACCATGCGTGGATCCTTGGAAGGACTTTGTTCGGACTGAAAAGCTGGTGCCGGTGGTCTGACAGCAGTCATTGTAGAGGGACGAATCACAGTCCGACTGGCGTTTACACTTGGTTTTAGAAGAATTGAAGGCAGTGATAGGGACGACTGTAAAATATATTAACTGATGAGTAATTCGTACAATTAAGAACAGGGTTTAAAAATTAAGGTTACAATAATTGTAAACCTGCTTACCTGATTAATACTGGGGTGGGGTTTCGGAGCCGAGTCAACAGCAATCCTTGAGGTATTCCGTACCACATTGGCCTAAAACATAAATATTTAAGAGTTAAAAATGTGTTTACATGTAGTTTTCTTTGGATATTAGTAATGAAATCTTAGGCTCGTAAAAATGAAAGAATGCATTAATGTATTAATTCGAAAACTTACCGGCGTTTGCACAACAGTAGTGTTGCTTTGTACACTGGCCTTAGCCTTCAATAGTTCAAGCGCCACTTTTTGCTTTTGCAACTCGAGCAGTTCTCGCTGCTTTTCCATCACAATTGACTGCATTTTTGGTTCTTCAGCAGATGCAACCGGAGCCGCACCCTAAAATAAATATTCACAAATTTAGAAACTAGTATCAACAAGGTCTACATTTAGTAATGGCAACCACATCATTATAAGTTAGGAAAATAAAATTTGACTCACCGCTAGGAACTTTGGATTGACATGAATGCTGCTACCTTTTGAAACTGGCATCTGGGCGATCGGCCAGGCTGGGTCGAGCAATTGCACCCTGGCATCGAGGGCGTACAATTTAGTGGCAGGAAATGTGCTATTCCATGAGCTCCTTAATTTAAACATAGATGCTCGTGTTTTTTCATCAACCTAAATAAAAGCTATTAATAATACGTCCAAAAATACCGCAATGATCGAATTACCACTTCGAAAACGGTGCAAAAGTTGCTAACAAGATTGGTCTTGAAGATGTCAGCATAGAATTTTTTAAGATTCTTGCAAATTGAGTCAATGAGGTAGAATACTGCCAACTTGCTAGTAGGAGGCACCTATAAATTAATGGAAAACATAAGACTTTGTTCAATATTTTATATAAAAAAACTACAAATCGATTTGTTTATTATTTGTCTTAGACCTGTGACCTTGTTACCAAGTTACAACAAAAAGCGCGTTCAGCACAGAGATAGGAAATTTATCGACCCTGCGCATTCCAGGCGCGTAACACACAAACATAAGCAGAGTAAGAAATAAAGAAAGTGACGCGTTTGATTAGAAAGCAGTTCGTTCATCAGGACAGTTAAGAATTGCATTAATCATGAAAGCCTCTTACTGCTTATATCCGATGTAAGTGAAATGAAAAAAATATATATATTTTTTGCGAAAATATATCTTTATCTCACTTCGATGCGGTCATATGACGACGCATGAGGAATTCAGTGCTAAATAATTGTGCGCAAGAGATAAGACCCGTTGAAAGTCTAAATTTCAGAATGAATTAAGTTTAAATTCGTAATTAAAATGGTCTACAATAAAAAAATAGTTAAAATATCAAGGTCACGAGGAAAGTAAACAGATTAATAATGACGAAATCACAAATTGCTGAGAATTTTTCGTCATAATACGAACCTTCAGGAGGTGCGCCTCGACGGCTTCAACGACGGCCGGGGCGTATTTTTTGTTTTCGTCGGCCAAAACAGTCAGCATTCCAATGAGTGGCCGACTGTTGACCGTCAGGTCGGCCAGGGAGCTTTTGAAGTCGTCAATGGTTTCCTGGGCCGCCTTGTCCATTGCGGTGTCCATGGAGTTTTTCGGTCTCGGTCAAAAATGAACCGTTATACCTCGTTTAGGCGTCGGATTTCTGTTGCAAATCACGACGTCATGGCAGATTCAACGGACGAGTGACGGTAATTCTTGACGAGATTCAAATTTTCGACGGAAATCCAAAGAAAAGCCAACACGTTCTTGCACGACGAACGGTTCGTCGTTTCTAGTAAAATGGCTTCTCAACGTCAACGGGACGGTGACGTCACTTCCGGAGTCGATACAGCAAAACACATCACTCGATTGGCTGACGAATTTACCCAGCTACCGTGTCAGCCAATCAGAAGTGCTCTCAGCAGCTCGTCGCGCGTCGTCGCGATTGGCGGGAGGCCACCTGTCGGCCGGAAAATCAACCTCGCGAAGGCCAAATATGAGCATCCAGCTAGCAGATGACACTGTTTGCAAGGACTGCGTAGAAGGCGTAGAATTTTGTGACTTGTGTTAAAACTGCCTGCCTGCTGGGCGTGAGACCGAGACAATAGACAAACTTTTTGTTTTGTTATTTAGAATCCTTGGACCGTGTTGTGACTTGTGAGTTGGCTCGCGAGGACATGTCTTAAAATTTCAGGTGAGTCCCTAAAGTCAACGGTGAAGATCGCTTTGGCAGGTGCGTTCTGCAATTTGTGGGCCATCGAGGGCAGTCAGGTGTGAAAAAAGCGTTTCCTGTGTCTCCCCATGTTTAATTAAAAATTGTGCCCTTGCAGCACGGAAGTACCCCTTTGACGCTGGACATATATAATGGACGACTACAAATTCCTGTTCAAAGTTGTGCTCGTCGGCAACGCGGGCGTTGGCAAGACGTGTTTGGTGCGCCGATTTACTCAGGTGAGAGTCCTATCGATGATGACATTGATGACTCATTCTGCAATTACCAAACTGATATTGCATTATATTGTGGTTTCAGGGCCTCTTTCCGCCAGGCCAAGGTGCAACAATAGGTGTCGATTTTATGATCAAGACTGTGGAACTTGAGAATGAGAAAGTCAAGGTACTACATACACAGAAAATTAAAAAAAAAACTTGGTTAAAATTAAATTACATATATGTAATTTTTTTTCAGCTGCAGATATGGGATACTGCAGGACAAGAGCGCTTCCGGTCAATTACACAGAGTTACTATAGATCAGCGCACGCTTTGATTTTGGTTTATGACATAAGCAGTCAGCCAACCTTTGATTGTCTTCAGGACTGGTTGAGGGAAATTGAGGAATATGCAAGCAATAAAGTGCTCAGGGTGCTAGTTGGTAAGAAAAATAGATTGTCATGCCCCATTTTTATCTCTTGAAGATAAAGGTAATCTCTTCACTGACAAATATTTGGCTGATTATACGAGATCAAAGTTTAAGATCTGCAATATTCTCACATAATAAATTTTTATTCTTGTTCAATTTTAGGCAATAAAACAGACAGAGAAGACAAAGAAATTCCAACCTCAGTTGGTGAAGACTTTGCCAACCGCCATAACATGTATTTTGTGGAAACCTCGGCCAAAGAGGCAGAGAATGTTGAAAGGCTCTTCATGGTTATTGCCTCAGAATTGATGGAGGTGACGTTTTTATCCTTAATTGAGATGAGATTTATAAAAAAAAATCCAATTGCAGCAAGCCAGATCAAAAGAGCTACCCAGGTATGAGACGCCTTCGTTGAATGGCCGCTCATCGGCTGTTGGAGAAGGAGGTTGTTGCAGCCGTTTCTCTTAGTGTGAATTAAAAGGACTGGAATGTGTTGATTACCTGCTCACCAGAAATGGAGCGAGATATTTGAACAGTTGTAAGTTATCGAAATGGTTGTTAGAAATTGTCTTGCATTCCGAACAATTTGAGCAAATGAGATTTTAACGCCTATGTACTAATAGTTGTTTATCATTTGTATGATTCTGTGATAATAACCGAATTCAGCTTTTGGTGCATACTATCTGTCGAACAAAAAGTATTATTTCAAACTTCCGCCAACTATGACAAGTAAAACATCACAAAATTTCATATTTCTAGATTATCGATGCATTTTTAGTTTATGCACTTGACTAACTAATGTAAGGCAGCTATTGTTGCTAGTGACAAATGTTATCTAAAAGTCTTTGTATCAGTTTGCAGCTCTAAAAGCTAATTATTTATGTTTGTGCACTCTATTTACCAAGGGTTTGTATACATTTTGGAGAACAATGATGAATAAAAATTGTAACTTCATTGAAAATTCATAATTTCTATTTTATGAATATATACTTATATATATTTTTTTTTAATTTTACAATTTGGATTACACTAATTTATAAATTGGGATAGCAGATCTTATCAATTTTGTAATCCTCGTAACAAAAATAAAGAATGGAGGCCCATTCACAATTTTCAAACTTAAATAATTAATTATGCCGATAATACCAGAATTATTTGGAGACAAGCAATATTCATTTCACAAACACAAGGAGCTAGAGGAAAATAGCAATCAAATAATATTTCCTAAACAAAACAACACTTCACATGAGGACATAACAAACTCATCTGACAGGAACACATTATTATTGATATAAGCAGCAGCATAGTGTGATCAAAATTTAAAATGATAATTTGATAAAAAAAAAAAGTCTTCCATGGTGCAGCAGAGAGGAGAACAAAAATTTGCTAGAAATCACAAATTTGTTCCTTGAATGGCACGAGCAAGTGTTCAGCATTCTTGTTTATCACAGAAAGGCCTCTTTAGAGAGCCCCTCAGGGTATACGGAACGGCACCACCAAGTCCTCTTTGTGTTCCACCTTGATGTTGCACATGGCTTCACTTGCCTTGTCCATGAAGTAATTCATCTGCAAGAATCATTCAATATAGAATAAGCAATTTGAACACAAAATATTCCTAACCATTTGCATATCATTAGGTAAAATGCCTTCTGTAGAGAGAAGCTTCTCAGGTGCAGGAAGGTCTGCAAGAAGACAGACTTTGGTTGGAGGTGAACGCCACCTTTGCATCACGGCCAGGCCATTGAGGCGCTGGTTGTAATGGCTCACTCTGTCCTGGTACTCATGTTGCTCCAAGGTGTGCGAATCCAAAGCAGCTACATCAATTACATTCCTAAAATTGAAGAAAATCTTCTGAGTTGCAAATATTATAATTACATAAAAGAGCAAAGAAAGAGATTTTTGCAACAAGCTCGACTTGAGACTTTTATAAAAGTAGAGGGGATAAATATAATTTTACCTCCCCTTAATGTAAACTGAAATTTTTATCTTGAATATTTATATTTTGCTTCTTTTTTTATTTTATTAAGTGTTTTTTAATACTAACGATGCTGTTTCCTGAAGGATCCTGTTCAGCGCCGATTGCTCATCCGAGTTTTTTGGCACCGAGTTAGGATATCGGGCGAGAAAATCGTCACTGTGCACCCTATGGATGTTCGTATTATTGCTCACGGGGTCTTCGAGAAGCCGACTGCGCTCGGTGACTTCGCCCGACTGAAAGGCACAAAATTGACATACATGTACTGCACTGCTCACAAAACACTGAAGTGACTGAATTTGAGCAGGTTTTCGATCTGCAATTGCCTTTACCTGAGAGTTAGCGTCGTCGCCGCAGCAACTGTCACAGCAGTTGCCCATTTTCGGTCAAATCCGCAGGCCGAGTTAGGCACAAACGCCCATGAATATAATAACTGAAATTTTTAGCAGGCGGCAGCTGACGAGTCGGGCATCATGTGATGGACAAGGATGCCAACAAAATTGTGATACGATGTTAAAAAACAGTAAAAATTTAATTTTTTTTTTTATTTGAATGACTGTATGACATTAATTTTTAGTTTAACTACAACTTTATACCTCCAATGTAAATTCCTAGGTATGTTATTTAAAAGTTTACTCTTTTATAACCTATTAATTATAGGAATTTATATCACGGTTACAAATACTTCCGCTGACAACACTGACAGCGCTTTCATTTGTTTCGTCGTCCACGAACGTAGCCAAAACGTAGCGCTCTTGTTGGTAGCGCTCGTCCCTCAACTCCCTCTCGCTAGTCTCGCTTCTCGCATTTTAGCTGCGAAACTAAAACTGCGACGACCTCGTGCCGAAATCCGCCGATTCGACGCCTCCGGATGGTTGCGTCTACGAGCGGTAAGTATTTTCGACTTTTTCCCTAAACCGTCAGCGGCCGAATTTTAACCAAAACACCTACGGCCTTCGCTGACCGCATCCTTACAAGGTCGTGTCCCGCATAACGGACACACTTGTTTTGCTGTTTTTGGTCCGAATTCTTGTTCTTGAATAAATTTTAATTTTAAAATTACTGTAACGTAACAATTTCCAGCGCCAATTTGTCTGCTGGAGTAAGAGACGCGATTAAAATTCAAAAACGTAGAAAATGGATCAGCAGTTGAGCGAAGAGGGAATCCGGGCCATGTCGGACAACGAGCTCTCCGAGACGTTGGTGTCGCTGGGATTGGCACGCACGCCGGTCACTTACACGACGCGACCATGGCTTGAGAAGAAGCTGATGGAGCGCGTCTGCTGGAAAGACGACAAACACCTGAGGATCAACGAGATTGACGAGAAAAAGCAGCAAACCCTCAATGACGAGATAAACAACAGTATTAACGAACTCATCAGCAGCAACCAAAGCGCAGAGCCGGCAGAGCAGCAGGAGGAGTCGAAAAATAAACTTTTCTATGCTGTGTCCTGTCCAGAGGACAATACTGAAGACGGTATAGAGTTAAAAATTTTAAACTAGTAAAATACATAATTAAATATGTTTTAGATTTTTCAGCCGAATCTCGAGTTTTTAACCTTCAGGAAGACGCCCTCAAGTTTGCAAAAAAGAATAAAAAGTGTCGCTTCAAGTCTTTCCGGATTTATGAAGAGGCGTTACAGTTTGCCACTACGCCTGCCACCATCCAAATTTCAGCACCAATGGTCAGCTCACCTGGTTATGTGGATGGGGCCAGTCGGTTCAAAGGCCCTAAAAGTCAGGATTTAGTGCAGCTGCGAAAGGAAATAGAAAATGGGAACACCAACATGGTATTTAAAAAATTATATAGTTACTAAAAATCATAACTTTAAAATTGTAATAGAAACCACAAGCTAGACAATATAAATTTGATTTTACTTTGTTAAGAATATTGATTGCATGGAAAAAATTAAAACAATTTTTTTAACATTAAATATGTTAAATATTAAACGGTACTAAACAATGAATCATACCCTATCCGGGTTACAATCACCAAAAAAATGACAAATTGTAGGTGCGTCGGATGATTTGGGAGAACCCACGCTACCTGATCAGCAATGGAGACATGCCTTCAATTCTCCAGGAAGGCGCTCGTTACAATGCCCTCCACGTTGCAGCTCGTAAAGGCAACGCAGAGATGGCTGCTCTCATCTTAGAAACTTTGTCTGACACCAAATTTGCACTGTTGCTCTATGGTGACTGTGTTGATAATGGCAGACTGCGCTGCAGCATTCTGCTTGACCTTTTCCTGAACATGCCGGACAAAGGGCTGCATGAAACACCGCTGCACATTGCCTCAAAACTAGGCGCCGTCCGCTGTGTAGAAGTTTTAGTCAATTATCCAGAGTGCAAGAAGAACCAACTAAATAAGGAAAAGCTCACTCCAGTTGAAGTGAGTTTTATCCACATATATTGTTTTTTTTTTTTTTTTTTTTTTTTTTTTAAATATAATCAAGATAAAAGTTATTTTTGTTTTATTGAGGCGTTTTTTTTTTTTGCAATCTTTGTTATGCCTTTATTTTATTTATAAAACTTGATTTCTTGCTCACAGATTATTTGCACTCGACAAAATCCACATGCATCAGCAACACAAGAGATCAAACATTTGCTGCAAGACACATTCTTCGTTCCTGTTCTCCGCTCGTCCACCTTAGACCAACCAGAGGTTGGTGAACCCTTTTCATCCAACACACCTCTTGTAAGTTTATATTTTGCCAAATTTGGAAACTTTCAAGTAAATTTATTATCTTAGGTCACTACCTTTGAAGTGAGTGCTTATGCTGGACCAATGGACTTTGAGCATGCAAAAGTTTTTCACAAACAGTTGAAATATCCCTCGCGTAGGGTGAAAATGCCCTTCAGCACAGCTAGGCTCAGTGATTTCAATAGAGGCCTTGAAAGAGAAGGACGGTCAGTAAAGAATAAATAATTGGAAAACTAATTTATTAATATTAATTTGTCATTTCTTTAGGGATTTGGCTCGAATGCACAATGTAAAATGGAAGGAATTCTGGCCGTTTCTTGGATTTTACATAGATCTGGCCTGTTTGGAAGGACTGACTGCCCTTGAGGACTACTTCAAAACCAAATTTAACGAACAGCCAATCAGCAATGGAGATGCTTTGAGTCCCATGACTGAGTTGTGCGATTCTTTGCGCTCTGTTTCTATATCAGATCGACAGGTACTTTTGAAAAATACAATTTGAGTATTTTTTGGTTAACCAAAGTTTTAAAAGTTCGTCGATCGCACTCCTCCATCTCGCTCAATACGCCGTCCACCTACTGACCCGCCACGCATTCCTGAGTTAACCCACAACCCTTTGTTGTACATTGAAAAGACCTGCCAGGTGTTGGCCCGTCGTCTGGCAGACGGTTTGACCCACAAATTTGACAAGGACAGGCGCACACTCAAAACTTTCCTGCACGTCGAGATCAGCAACATGCAAAACATTGTCCTGAGCTTCCGTTCGGAAAACCAGTTCACCACTTCCGTCGATTACTCTCGTGTGCACAGCAGAATTGCTGCCTTGGCCAAGACATATCTGAAAGGGCAGATGAGTCATGATGAACTGAAAGTCCTAGTGGCCAGTCTACAAGGCATTGTCACTTCTGACCTTGACCTTTCCTCTGACGAAGAGCAGGACAACACTTCGGAAAGGTTAGTTCAGTTAGTTGAATCTGTTTTTATCTTAATTTGAATTTTGTTTCCTTCAGATCTTCTATGATGCGAGAGCAGATGCAGTGCCTGGGAAGAATGCTGGTTCGTTCTTCCACTGAAGTGCCTCAGTGTGACAATGTCGAGTGGATGTGGGCTCAGTGCCAAAGCTGCTGCTGTTCCTGGATCTTGGCAAATATGCGCTCGCCCAGAGTCAGGGGCTCCAGTCTCAAAAGAGCCGCTAACATGCACAAGCAACAGCAGGATGCTACTCCACAGACACCAACCTCCACCAAAAGCAACCATTGGAGGCAGCCACCCAAAGAGTTCACCGACTCAGATGACTCCTCAGGTTAGATTATAATCTAAATGCTTTGTGTAAAAAAACTACAGAAAAGATTTTTTTTTTTAAATTCCTAGCTGGATGAGCTTTTTTATATTGAAATTAACTGCTAAATTTTTAAAATTCCATTCAAAGTTTTTAAATGAGTTGATCTTCTTTTATAGATGATGAGTCAAAAGATGAGTTTTTCACACCTCCATCGTCTCTACCTGTCTCTGACGACGAAGAGGAATTTGAGCCTGCTGAAGAAGGAAGGATGGTTTTTATCTCAGGGTAAATTTCTAGCCTCTCAAATTTCTAAGTTTTTAATTTTTGCCCTTTTTAACCAGATCTGATCCCACTAAACTGGACATTGACGTTTTACGTGCCTGCGAATCTCATCTGCTCTCTCCCAAAAAGTTTCCCTTTGTCTGGAGGTGGCGGCACCAGATCCTCACCTTCCCCGAAAGAGAAAGACAGAAGTATTTTTAATTTAAAAATAATCTCAATTCAAATGACTTATTACTATCCCTGCAGTTGGAAAAACCCTCATGTAAGTCAGCGCCCTGCAATGAACCCGACAATGACATCCCCTCTGAGTCCTGTGCGGAGCCCCGTCTCATCGCGGAAAGTGCTGCCTCAATCTTGGGCCTCCCCAGAACCGCCTTTCTCTCCGCCGTGTAGGAGGCTCAACCTCTGACCCTCCCAAGTAGCTCCCCCTTATTTTTATACTCTGACCAAACGACCAAAACAAAAAGTCAGGCCTCCAAGTTGGCACGAAAGGACATGGGTGTGGTTGTGAGCGGATTTTCATGAATCTCATACAAGCAAGTTGGAAGCCACTTTTTTAATTGTGAACGAAGTAGATCGTATGTTGGCGATAGAAATTAATCCAGTTTTGTAAATCAGAAAAGAAACTTGTCTCACTCGCCAATGATGAGCTGTGATTGGTGGTAGCTCCTTCCCTTTATGTAATAATTATCAAGAGATTTCCTCCTGTGTTTTACTTCAATGTCAGTTGATTAGCACAATTTGTAGTTTGTACTTTTTGAAGAATGGCAAGGCTGTTATTTCTTTCTCATTTTTTTTTAATTTAACAATTTTTCCTAACAACTCCCTAAGATTTGAAAATAAACTTTTGACGCTGATAGCCCTCTCCCTACCTGACCAGAATGTATTAATGCTTTGAAGAGATGGAAGCTTATTAGCTTATATTTTAAGAAGGAATCCATTTATACATATTGCAATGTGACTGCTGAGAGGAGAAGAATAATCGATACTCTTTTGCTACTTTTTTATATGCAACGTTTAACTATTATTATAAAAAATTTAACGATCAAAAATAAATAAAAATTTAATTTGACAATTTTGACAAATAAACAGCAATGATAATTAACAAAAAAGATGATTTTTTTCAATTATACATTACAAACAATAATTTGATACTATTTCTATGGAAAATCTTTAAATCCCGATAAAATTTAAGAAATCGTGCAAAATGATAAATCATTTTTGGAGGAAGGGTGACCATAAGAAAAGTAAAAATGATAAAATTAAGACACGTTCTGTTTCGCGTGAAGTGGCAAAGTATTTCTAGGTGATCAGAAACGTGCCCCCTAATTTCCGGCGAACGCACGTTTTTGCTAACTATCAGATCGGAGTAGAAATTTGTTACATGGGGAGAGCATTTGAGAGGTTTCGTTCTTGTTTTGTATTTCCAGCGTCGCATCACCACGCGAGCATGTGGGATGATAACAAAAACGCCGAGTTGGGCACGTTTTGTTTGGTGCATTTCAAAGCAAAGAAGCGAAAGAAACAGTCGATGAGTAAATTTATAAAGTAGAAACACTTGCGCTTATTTAGTAATAATTTGCGTCTCTCTCGCGCGATGACGATTTTTAAGGTCGGACAGATTGAGGTTCAATGTCACAATCCACAGAGGAACTTAAGAGAGAACTACTTTAAGTTCAGGAAGGAAGAACGAGTCTTGATTAATTAGAATAATACATGACCTTTGCAGCCCCTTTGTCTCTCATTCATTTGGATTCAGACCACTCAAAAATTTACTCACTCGCCCCATATTTCTCAGCCTGAATAGCCAAAGCCAGCCCCAAAAGACGCAAACAAATCTAACAGTAATTTCCATTACATTTTATTAAATTAAAATGTACCAGTTCAAGGAAAATTTCAAATTAAATAGGGGAAAATTTTAATAAAGTAAAGTTAAGACTGTTTAAAAGTCTCTTTGTTTAAATTAAAATTATAAAATTAATTTTGTTTTTATGTGTGGTACGATACAATCGCGTTTATTTGCACTTCGCCTCAAACGAGCCGCACAAAAGGCGACGCGACACATATGACAAAGGTCGGAGGTCGCGGGAGACGATGCGGTTAAATTTGATTAGCTCGCAGCTGCTGCTGCTCCGAATTACAATAATTGAAGTTTGTTTAGCTAGAAGATAACAGGCTCGGTTTATAATGAGAAAATGCGTAAAACAAACCGTAAATTGGGCATTTCATGGGGGGGGGGGGGGGGAGCGAGTGAACTGATGTGACAATAAAATTAGATTTTATATGCCAGAGCAGCTGCTATTTTTCCATTATTAGATTGGAGAAAAAGTTGTTAATTATTTTTTAAGGCCTTTTATCACCCTAAACCCTAAAAAGAGTCGGCAATAATTGGATGCATAATACAAATGAAGGATTAATAGCCAAGGAAAAAACCTTTGTATTATAAATACACGGTGCAAAAAGGGACAAATTAAAGGGGTAGTCAAATTTAATAAATGAATCTATCATTAATATATTAATATTATTAATTGAAATTTGAAAAATTAAAAAAATGAAAATCAAGGTACAATTTTTCCGCCTTTTTGAGTCATTTAAATAGAAATATAATATCAAGCCAGTTTTGATTTTGGTCTAAATTTTTAATTTACATTTTTTTCATTAATTCTTTATTTTATAAAACAAAATTAAAGATATTGTTCATTCCTTTTTTTTTGTTGAAGAAGTTGACAGTCGAGGAGATGATCATTGAAATTAAAAGATCGGGCTTTTCCTCATTGTAGATTTTTTTTTCAAAAACAATCAGCTCGACCAGTTTCGGTCACGGTCTGCGACCCTATTTCATGAGCAAGAAAAAGACAAAAAATCAGCAAAATTGAAAAACACCACATTTTAACATAAAAATTAAAATCTTAAAACTAAAAATTTCAAGTACCAACCTATTTCATGAGCAAACGCGCTGCTCGCTGACTAATACAAGAATGAGCTAGCTTAAGACAGATTGATTGGGGGAGGTGATCTTTATTGGGTGGTGTTTTTCAATTTTTCTGATTTTTTGTATTTTTCTTGCCCATGAAATAGGATCGCAGACAGTGACCGAAACTGGTCATATAGAGCCATTTGTTTTTGAATAAAAAACCATTTTCTGCAACGAGGTAAAGCCCGATCTCTTCATTTCCATTCCTCATTCCAATTAACATTTTTTTTTATTGGTTGATTTTGAATATATTTTCTCATTAAAAAATTACATCTTTTGGTTTTACAAATTGGCGTATTTTTTATTTTTCAGTTTTCCGTTCTTTGGCCCTGTAATTATCTTTCAAGATTGTTTTTAATCAAATTTGCACAAAATATAGCGGCAGTGCCAAACGAGTTCACCTTCGGTTCTCCACCTGCGAGTGAGCACCGTTGGAAGAAGAGAGGGGGTTCGTCGGCTGTGGCGCAAACGCTGGGCTCACGTGCGCGATCGATGGACTGCCGCTCGGCTGGCTCGGCTGGTGTGTTTTGAGTCAGTCAGTCGTGTGTGAGGCGAGAAAGGCAGCGAGTCCAGCCCGTTCTCGGGGGGATCCTGCCCGCGAACGCAGTCCATCATCAACCAAAACGCAAGAAGCGAAACAGCGAGTGCCGTTTAGTTCCCGACTTTTTCAACCTTCATTGTCCGAAGAATCGCAGAGCCGTGGCAGAGTCGCTGGAGGCGCAGCAGGAGAGGATGAGGCGCGCCGGCGAGGCCCTCAACGAGGGTGGAACCGCCCTCTGCAGACGGCTCACCCTCACGGTCGCCGTGCTGCTGCTCCTGTCCGGCAGGGCCTTTGCCGACTGGGGCTACGAGGAGATCGAGTACACCATGGCAGTCCTCAACGCCACTTACCCAGGTCAGAAAACGCAACTTTTTATGCTTAAATCTTCAACAAAATTTAAATGGGAAAAAGTTTTAATATGAAATTTAAGTTGTTTGCAAGAACACACAGTTAAAATTTTTGAAATGTATTCATTTATTTAATTATTAATTATATTTCATGGTTTTATTAATAAATAAAAACTAACAATTAAAGCGTTTTTAACTTACATTAGAAAATTCAATTTGTTAAAATTAACCTACGCCGAGTATAAATTTCCCTATTTAAGACCTTTTCAACTAAAGATTTATTTTAAATTATAATTTATAATTATTTTTCATTGTTCTGGAAATAAATTTTATCACATATTGCACCAATTTGCAGAATCATCAGAAATTTGAATTTATAAAAAAAAAAATAAAAAAACGAAAAAAACACTTCATAAGGTTCAATATGGGGAAATTTATTCTAGTTTTTAGATATCTCAACAACTAACTTATTATTACCGCAAGTGAATATCCCCCAATATCTTCAAATATGTAAAAAATTGTTTAAATTAAATAATAAACCAAATTAAATTTGAAATAATTAATTGTTTTCTTTGATCTTATATACAAAACTTTATGAAAAATTGAATGAACTTATCAATTATTGAACGTTCTCTTAAATAAAAAAATTATTTTTTATGGTTCAATTTTAATTGTTGAAATTTGCTAACACCGAAGATAAATTCACCATTTTCGAACTTCTCAACTCAAGTGTTTTTTGTTAGTTATAATTTATGATAGTTCTTTGGCGTTCTGGAATAAATTTTTATCTCTCATTGCTCCAATTTTCAACTGAAATTTATTGCAAGCATTTTCATTACAAATCTTGCAATTTTGCATTTCATTGTTTGTCGAGCTATTTGAAAAGATTCTTTTTTACTGCTGACAGGGAGTGCAGAGAAACCGGCGGAGCTGGGCAAGTTCAGCGAAGGTCACATCTCGTCCTCGACGGGTTTGCTGGTGCACGTCCAGAGTGTCAACAGCACCTCTGATCACGGGTGCACCTTGCCTCTGAAGCCGGTCGGCGGCGACGTTTTGCCCACGCAGCCCTGGATCGCGCTCATCCGCCGAGGACACTGCTCCTATGACCAGAAGGTGGACAACGCCTTCAAGAGCAATGCGTCTGCCGTGCTCATCTTCAACGACCGCGAGTCGCCCGTCCTCCAGAAGATGCGCGTTTCCACTCACAGTAAGTCTCATTTACAACTTTTCAATCAAAATGTTTAATAAAGAAAGTTTCATTCAAAAAGGGGGAAAAAATCAAAAGTTAAATAATTTGTATTTTTTTTTTAATCACTTGTTACATTTCTTTAAAGTAAATAATTTATATGTATATTATTTATTTATTCTCCATTCAATATAAAGTCATGAATACACAGCAAAAAAAAGCTATATGCAAAAGAAAAAAGTACAGAAAAAGCTGAAAATACATTTAAAAGAGACACATACTGTTAATTGGGGGTGAATGGAGAAATGTCTTTTCGCTAGCAAACAACTTGCTAAAGCACAGCACCCTCTCCTTAGAAAGAGAGCGTACCGGCTGTTAAGAGCTTTCAGACAATTTTACTTTGTTTAATTATTTTACAATTTCTGTAAGTCGAATAATTTCCAGTTTTTAATTTAATTAAATGAAGTAAAAAATTGTTAAGTAAAGGCAATTTTTTCAGTAAATTGTATTGTGATCCTTGAGGAAACATCTGTTTGGAAAAAATTGTGTAAATCAATGAAGATATGAAATATGAAAATATTATTTTAGTCTCGCAAGAACTTCTACGCGTTTAACGCATCCTTTTGCGAAACTAATCCAGCCTGGCTTACCGGCCACATGCATGCTGGGACCAAGAGCCTCATCAAAAACACACGTGTTTGTGTGTGTGTATAATTTTCAATTCTTTAATTCCTCGCCTACGCCGGTTGGATTTGCAGCAAGCGCACGAAACTGCCTAAAAATACGCGGCCGCAGAGCCAACAACTGTCTAAAAATAAAACACACCGACCAGCACTGCTTCTTATTTTCCGTCTTGATGTAAACAAGACCCGAGAGGCTTCGCTTTTTTCTTGCATAATGTAATCAATCAGTTGGAAAACAGCGAATTTGCATCAGAAGTCAGCAAACAAGATTATTTTTGGTGGAATTCTTAGGCGCGCAGCGAGCAGCTGACCTGGATTTATCGCGACCTGACGCAATTTCCCTTTTACAGGCGCAACCTTGCCTCGGTTTCACTGCTTCTCGTCCACTTTTATTATATAATTATGTGAAAACCGGCGCCCCGCGAATTCGCCTTGAAATCGATCATTATACTCGCGGTAGAACAATCGACTCCTTCCAGTGCATCAAAAACAAGATCAGCGATTAGCTTAATTCGGGCTCAATTGCACTCACCAGGCATGAAAAACAAATCTTGAGATGATGATGATGATGCTCTCTCAAAATCTATTTCAATGCAAAACTACAACACGCAAAAAATTTTAAAGTTTTTTAGTAGCTTTCAATAAAATATAAAGCGGCCATTTATGTTACTCCGTTGCCTTGATTTCTAAATTTTAAATCAGTTATATTTAATTTCCTTTTCAAGCCTTAAGGTTATCAGATACTTAATTTCTTAATTCAAAGTCAAAATTTGATGCAAATTCTATTCTTCAAAGTCCAGATTTTTTTTGCACAGTTTCCGTAAAAGTCATGTAAAAACCTGTCAAAAAGGGAATTTTATGTTATAGAATTGATGTATTGAGGTTTATTATTTTAAAATTTCTTATTTATTCTGTCCTCAAAGCTATATTTAATTTTGTCCTTTAAAGCACACTATTATAGTTTAAAAAAAACTGCTCATTTCATTGGAAACAAGGCTGGATTGGGACATAAAAAGCATAATTTATTTAGCTCCTTCACAAATAATAAATAAAATGCTCTTCCGGAGTTACTTCAAATAAATAATTAAATAAAGAACTGCATTAGATTCGCTCCTTGAAGATTATTTTTCTTGCGAGAAATGGCTCATAAATTTCAAACAAACCGCTGCAATTTTGCCGAGTAGTTCAAGCTGCGCCGCAAGTGCATGTTTGCCTGAGTATAAAAAAAACTCGATTTTTCACGCTTAGTACCCGTCTTTCTATCTTTTTCTCCCTCTCCATGGCTTGCATATTTAAATATAATTCTCCAGCATAGCGGCGCCGAGTTGAAAGACCTTATTTTCTTCTTCCTTTATATTCTTTTCGCGCTGCAAGTCTCGTCACTTGGCTCGGCTCACTCGGCGTGCGTGCACTTTAATCGCGGTAATAATAGCGTAAAAATCAACCGACGGCCAACACCAGAGAGTTGCAAATGAAAAAGGTCACGTGGATCTCGTCGAGGTCGAAGTCGTCGCGAGCGCGCGCGAAATCTGCACGACGCTCGCTTCCTCATTGCGCCCTTTTCCACCAACTCGCTGACGCACACGCACCATTTCCATATTAATCACTTCGCGAATTTCTTCCTACTGCGGGACTTGCGCTCACATGCGTCATTGTGATTTGCTCCCGAATTATTTGATGTAAGGAGGTGAAGAAAAGAAATGACAAATTGCATTTGTTTCAAAAATTAAAATTAATAATTGTGCCAAAAGTTCTTGAAGTTTGTTCTGTTGTTGATATTTTAAATCAGTGAAATTATTTTTTCTTGGAAAAAGTGGGCAAAATGTGTGTTTCTTCATACAAAGTTTATTCAAAAATGTTGAGAAATAAGGCACTATATCATTTTGAATGATTTTAGGAAATTCAAAGCAATTAAAATTCAGATTTTTAATTTAATATGGGAGTGAAAATTTAAAATTAAATTTAACGTGGCGAAAAGTTCTCGAAGTTTGTTCTGATGACGTTGTAGATACGTATTTTTAATCAGTGAAGTTAATGCGGCTCATAACGTCGTGGCATAGAAGGTTGGTGGGGAAGGAAAATGTGATTCACTTTAGGCTGGCTTGGGGAATACTGGACAGTCTAACCGGTTATGAGTTTTGACCATTATTCTTGGTTAAAAAAAGGGAACAAAAAATTTCTAATTGATCGTTTGTTGATATCCGGGTTATAAAAATGATCTAGAATAACAGAAAGATCACTTATTCCACTTTAACTTTTTTAATTTAAGTGGAAAATGACATTGTTATTCAAAATTAATCCACAGAGTGTTCTTAAATATATCATATAATTTAAAAAAATAAACTCTATGAGCTGAATAGTGAAAGATTATTTTTATTTTTCAATTGGGAAAAATGTAATAAATTTAATTGTTATATTTTAATCTCATCAATTTTGTTTTAGCTGAATAATTTTAAATTTTTTACATCTTTTTCAGACTTGCCAAATTAATAAAATTCCTTAAAATTCCTTACAATTCAATTCAATCGAGCGGCTGTACAAGAGACTTTTCCGAATGTCATTTGATGGTATTGAAAGATCCTTGGCCTCTCTTTCTCTTCTACTCTGGCAGCAGCAGGTCGTTTAATGCGGATTTACGACTGTAGCGCGGAGGTGAACATCGAAATTTATTTTACGGCCGATTGGCTTAAACTCTCCTGCGGGGCTTCGGCTCTAAAAGCAGCACCAATAAGCCCCCGCGTCTATTTAATTATTCACACGCCGAAAAATTATGATACGTTCTTCTTGTTCGGCTTCTTCACACACGAGGAAAGGAAAGCTGGATGCAGCTGTGGAGAAGACACAACGATTTTGTAACAGCAAAGCAGATAGTGCCGAGTTTATTTGAAAAACGTTCGTCTGCTGATAACAGAGTGAAGAAGCATTTCTAGCCCAAAATAATGGGATATTAACTACGCGTCTGAGAGAAGGACGAGCAAAAGTCATACTATAACCATTGAAAACAAACCAGTTTCTAAAAAAAAGAAGTATGCAGAAAACAAATTAAATGCTTTTTGTTTGATTAGAAAACGGCAAAGGCAAAAAATCAATACTATTTGCTCTTTCTCGGCTGTCGTCGGGTGAAAGAGAAGAATAAATTTCTCTGCTAGCGACGCGCAAAAGAGAGTCGTTGGCGCAGAAAGGCTGCTGTACGTAATCTTTGTGCTCTGAGAGGAGACCTTTGAAAGAAAATTACGTTTATTCTGCTGTAATAACTAAACAATTAACAATGGCAACTCTCTGCGCTCAGGGAGATTATCGCGCTTAGCTTGATGCAATTATGAACGATGGGGAAAATAACAAGCTGGATGCAATGTGATAATAATTAATCCAATCTGATTAAGACAAAAATTTAATTGAAAAGAAAATATTTTATTATTTTTAATTTATTTTCATTACTTGGGAAGTTAGATGAATTTATAATGAAATTGAAGCAATTTTTTCCCTCTACTTTTTGAATTTCATTTTTTTTTTTTAAATCGATTTGTACGTCGGGCGTTTTTACTTTTGAGTTGACGTGTTTTTACCTCTACCTCTGTTGCTCCTCCACCCTGCGTCCTTGGCTCAAGTGCGTGCACGCGTGTGTTTGTGGAATATTGATCGCCGAAAGTGGCTGCCGAGAATTATTTTGCATGAGAATTAATAAGGATGTAAAAATGAATGCCATCGGAAAAATTCGTCACGCGTTTCTCGGTAATGATTTTCGCCACTAAATTTAATCAGAGAGAGCAAAAATGCGGCAGTTACGCCAACTTCCTACACGTTTCCTATATACGTGCGCGACTCTTCCTCAAAATAATTAATACGATTCTCGGAGCGGCACGGCAGAAAATAACACACGCCCAATTGTTTTCTTTTTTTTAAATTACTTTCATTGTTGATTCTCTTCGAAATTGCATCAATCTTTAATCTCTTGATCAAAATCAAGCTGTAGTGTAGAGACTGAAATTAAAAAAAGAAAGAGCAATAATTAAAGAAAATTAACAAAAAACTATTATTTTTATTTTTCATAAAAATACTTTTTGTTTATATGTTTGTTTGCGTCTCTTCTTATTGTTTCATTCCTTTCATCAAGTTGCCCTATTTAAAGTGCTTCTTAGAAGGAAACTTAGGAGCGCTCTCGGGTTGGATGAAAAAAAAAGCAGAAGTTGAAGCTGCTCGTTCATACACACGACGTTGTGTGTATTATATTTTCCCCGAAATTAAACTCCTTTCTGAAGAGATAATGATGTCATAAAACGAGACCGAAAATAGACTTGAAGCCGTCTCCCCGCAGCTGGACCGCAGCAAAAAAGCGTG